TAGCTCCGCCCATTCTGGAGCCACACCCCCTCCCTTAGCCTGGGACTCCAAAAGGGGAAAAAATAGCTCAGGGGTTGAGAGTTGGCATTACTTCCAGAAAAGACGACAGTGGCATTGATATTGTAGAATGAATTATGTTTTTAAATTGAACAGTAAAAATTATGCATATTCTCATGTGTGACGAGAGCTTCCTGTGCAGTAGTTCATTGGCTCTTCCCCCAAACCTTAGGAACTAGCCTTCTTCCCAAATTACAGACGGGGAACAGGTTCAGGAAGTGACAAGACTTGCATGGGGCCCCTTGTCCTAGATTCTATCCAGAGCCGCTGGACTCTGCTCTCACCCATATGATGTAATGAGAGCAAACAGTGATCTCGTTTGGGTACTGAGCCACGCATTTTGCTTGCTTTTCCAGGACTCTTCCCCAGAGCACTCTATGATAGTGAAGGGCAGTAACCATAGCCTCCAGATTTGTGTCCTGCATGCCCATTCTACCATATATAGACCCATATATTCTAGATAAGGGAAACAGGGCTCCTATGGATGGTAGCTACTGATTCAGTCACAGGGATCAAAAACCTGGACTTGAACGCTTAAAGCAGTATTGACCACCCAGGTGTGGGTGCGTGTTTTCAATACCTGCATCTACTCTTGTTTTTTTTTTTTTTTTTTTAACTCCAGTTCAGTGCAAGGCCCTGTGCTGGGTTACCCTAGAGATACAGAGGTGAGAAAAAACAGAGTCCTTGTGCTCCAAGAGCTCAAATTCCAACTAGTGTTAAAAAGACCTGTTGTCAGTATCTAGAGGCCGTGGTGAAGGAGTCCCCTCAACTAGGAAATCAGGATGCCCAGAGAAAGCTGAACTAGAAAAATGACCTTAGAAATAAATCTGAAATCTGTGACATTGTTGCAAAGGGAAAAACACCACCTCTCCTGGCCTATCTGGAGCCATTCCCTTCTCCACTAGCTGATCATGTCCCTGGATAAGTTGGTCTCCTTTCTCTTCCCACTTTTGTCCTTCTATTGGATACTATTCTTGCAGCCTGGAATACAAGGCCTCCTCGTCCTCTGCGTTCTCATCCAGACTCCTCTTCCTCCCGGGGAAGCTTAGCTTCTCCTTTTCCACCAAATATTGCTCCTTCCCCTCCTCCCCCGCTGCATTTTTCAGTCTTGTAATTATTTCCTTAATTAATAACCATTTATTCATCCTGTCTCTTTCCCATTGGATCTGCAGTGACTTCAGGGTCATAAAAGTCACCTCTGGATATCAGTTTACTAGGCACAGACCTTGCATGTAGCAGATTCTCAATAATTGTCTGTCCCTGCAAATGTCTTGCCGGTTCTTTGGTTTCAGCAAGTTACTTAGCTTTTGTGAGGCCCTGTTTTCTCACCTGTAAATTGGGAACAATAAAAATGCTTGCCTCCTGGGGTCATTGGGAGGAGTGAGTGAGTAGATTTGTGTCCCAAGTGTGGAGCGTACTGCTGGGCACAGAGAAAGTGCTCAATAAAAGTGTGTTCCTGGGGAAGTATGGGGTGTGGGTGAGTGTATCCAGGGCCCATGGGAATGTCACTTGGTGGGGGGCCACTGTGGGCTGGGATCTTGGGCAATTGCACAGTACTCCACTTTAGCACCTCCCATTTCCTGCTCCAGCTCTTCCCTAAAATCAGAATCAAATTGAAAAACGAAGTTCAAGTGTGGGTATGGGTGCCTGCATTTGAGTGCGGGAAGAGAAACTGTCTGCAAGTGGGTAAATCGTGTTCAGAGCAGCAAAGATGACTTCAGGCTCAGACTCCCAAAGACCATACCAAATGCTGCACAAATTCACCTCCTTCTGTCTCCCCAGCCTCTATCCCAGGCCCTGCTGTGGCCCTGACCCTGATAAGTTGCAAACCAATCTTGACTGTACTCAGATAAACAGGTTCCTATCAGTCTGGGAGGCAGACCCCAGGGTTGGTGAGATGATCTGCTCAGGGGGAGCTTATGAGCTGCGGCTGCTTCCTTATTGACTAATCTGGTTGTGTCCTGATCAAAAATGACCAAGATACTGGTGGGAACAAGCAGTCTCTTGTCAACCCAAGAGACCCCCTGCACAGCTGCAGGATAAAAGGTTTTTGTGTTTTGCAATGCTGGGGATGGAACCCAGGGCCTCACGCCTGCTAAGCAAGCACTCTACTACTGAGCTACATCCCCAGCTCTGGAAGGAGGCTTTATTATTGAATAATCATTTAAGCCAGACTGTGCCACATCTCACAGGTAATGTGTTAAAGAAATCATAAACTTGGAAAGTAATCCTACTTTTTTTTTTTTTTTTTTAATATGCAGCCAAACCCTGCAGTATATCTGAGCTCTCTGGTTTCATGCTAACCTGCCCTCGGGCAAGAGCACTTGACCTTCTCATTTAGGATACATTCTTAGTTCATTTTAGACTTGCCTGCTAATGCCGGTACCCACTGTGCTGGCCAATTGCTGGTGCCTCAAGGAACAATAAAACTTCTCAAATCTTTAGACACAGGTGGTTACAGTTTGGAACAAAGAGCTTGAACTAAAACCCCCACAGTGACAGGGAGGTAGGGACAATGTCTTCCTTGATATTTACATTTCAAAGAGATGGAGTGCAGGCCCTCGCTGAAAAACATTCATGGGTCAAACCGGCAAGAAATTTGTTTAGCCTTGGAAAAGATTGATAAAGTGCAGTGTAGACATGAAAGGGAACGCTGTTTGGCCATAGAAAGGGGGTGTACGCTACCACGTGAATGAACTTGAAGACCTATTGCTGAGTAAGAAAGCCAGACACAGAAGGACTAATATGGTATGATCCCACTTACCTATGGAACACGGAGAATAGGTAAACTCAGAAAGAATGTAGAGTAGAGGTCATTTGGGGGCTGGGAAGAAGGAAGGGAGGGGAAATTATTTATAAACAGGCATAGTATTTCTGTTCAGGGTGATGAAAAAGTTCTGGGAATAGCGGTGATAGATGCAAAGCTATGTGATGTTCTTCATGCCAGGAATTATACATTTTAAAATGGTCAAGATGGCCGGGTGCTGTGGTGCACGCCTGTAATCCCAGCAGCTCCGGAGGAGACTGAGGCAGGAGCCATTTAGCGAGGCGCTAAGCAACTCAGTGAGACCCTGTCTCTAAATAAAATATTAAAAAGGGCTGAGGTTAAGCTCCCCTGAGTTCAATACCTGATACCAAAAAAAAAAAAATTCAATTCTGCCTATGTAATACAGTAAAAAAAATACACACACAAAATTTATGTCTATCAAAGGGACAGAAGATATAGTAACAAAGAATTGAAGAAGGGAAGTCAAGGGTGGCACATGCCTGTAATCCCAGCTACTCGGAAGACTGAGACAGGAGGATCAAAAGTTCAAAGCCAGCCTCAGCAACTTAGCAAGATCCTGTCTCAAAATAACCAAAAAAAAAAGAAAAGGCTGGGGATGTAGCACCCTCAGTTCAATCCCCAGTATCCAATGCTCCCAAATCAGTGGTAGAATACTTGCTGAGCATTCAGGAGCCCTGGATTTTATCCCCAGCATGGAGGTGGGGAGAGAGTAGGTTTCTTTTATTTTTACTCTACAAAATTCTCCTGCCGAACTGTCCTTACTCCCTGAATGTATCCCAGGACCTGGTCCCCATTCGCCTAGTCCTTGCTTAAAAACACGCTCTGGGCTCTATCCTACCTGTGCCCCCACCACCACCACCCAGAATCCTCTAGGGCATGTTCTCCTTTGCTTCAGCAAGGAAGTAAACTTATTTGGTTGGACTCAAAGTGTCCTTCTGGTTGTCTTTGGCTCTTGGGCTTCAATATCCCTCTCCCGTGAAGTCTCCATAATCGAGTTAGAGATAGCTTCCATCTGCCTGGAAACCTTCTCACTCTAAATATAGCTGGCCTTCAGGACCCACAGGGTCCACATCCGCAGATTCAACCAACCAACCAAACAGGGATCAGAAAGGTTCCAAACTCCCCCAAGACCTTTTCTTGTCAGAATTTCCTAAACCATACAGAATAACAACTATCTGCAGAGCATTTACACGGCCCAGGTATTCCAGGGGATCTGGGACGACTTCAGGTGTACGGAGGATGGACAGCAATTTATGGAGCTATGCCGTTTGATAGAAGGGATTTGATTGTTACCGATCCAGGTCCATGTGGCTGATGTCACAATAGGGCCATCACTGAAGCCACGAGTTTTGAAAAAGAGGCAAAGTTTATTTCAAGGTGGCTAGGCATGGAGATGAGAGCCCAAGTCTCAAATCTGCCTCCCCAGGATAGGTTTTGGGGGTGTTTATGGGGTAAAAAGTGGGGTGATTGAAGGCGTGAGGGAAGGTGACTGGAGTTGAGCTCTTGGACGGGGCACATTCAGAAAACCCAGGGAAG